TCCGGTATTTTTCTTTCTCTTTCTGGCTTATCTCACTAAGCATGATCTTTTCCAGCTCCATCCAAGTTGCTGCAAAAGACATGTGTTTCTCTTTTTTGTGAACCCATCATTTTTAATGGTGCATAGTATTTCATTGTATTAACATGCTATAGTTTATTATTATTTAAGAACAGCATATATATGTTACTATACTAGAATTATATCAGATGATACAGGGTGGTAACAATGGGTAGATAGGTTGGTAATAATTTACTTCTTCTTACGCTCTGTGAGATTAATGTTCTCTGACTGTGAACCTTTAGAATTCAGTAGCTCTGGGCTACTTTCTTTATATGTAAAATCTGTACAGTCTTAACCTGCAGTAGTCATTGTCAACTCAGGCCTTGAAATACTGACCGAGATGGGGCTCTGTTCGGGGAGAATTTGGGGGGATGGGGGCATGACACCAGCCAGTCAGTTGCATACAAACTTTGGTTTCAGGAGGATGAAGAGAAGAAAACAGGTGGAAGAACTGGTGGGGAGAGGAGAATATGGCTTTTGGGGTGATTTCTAATGGCAAATGACTGTTGTGAATTTTATATTTTTGAATTGGGGATTTAAAATGGAAAAAAACCTTTTAGTCATCTAAAATATGTTCCTTTTCACAATGTTTGTGGTCCTAGTTGTGTAGCTCAGCCAGTAGAGTGATATCACACTCCTGTCTTTGAAATGCTGTCAGTCACGTGAGCTGGCTGTGCTGTGTTCTGGAATGAGGATTTTAAGGGCAGGGCAAGAAAGATAAGGTGTTAGCCTTGTCTGGGACTTCCTGTAGCTCAAGAGCTTTCAAAAAGAATACAGATTTAAAGAAAAAGGAACTTTCAAATAAATTTAGGTGTAAACAGGTTAAAAAGAGTTGGCATCTATTTCCAGAAGCCTCTTAAACCTGGTGCTTCCTTTGCTGTCTAGTAGGTGCAACCCCTCTCTTTTCTTTTTCTTTCTATCTTAATAATAACTGGTAACACTTCTCTGAGAACTGTGACTTCTGTCCTAAGAGAAGGAGCTTTCATGGAATTGAAAATAATGCACGGAAAAGATCAAATTGATTTCGACTTGCTTGCTGTTCGCTTCAGAGATCCAACTTTTAGCTTGAGCAGGGAAGTGGGGTGGGTTCCTCCGAGTCTACAGCTTAGGGCTGCCTGGGCACCTGGGAGAGTGTGGCTCCCTTGTCTGTCTTGGGCTCTTTTTGCTGATGGGGCTTGTGATTTTCTTGCTAACGGTGGTTGCTCCTCTGGGCTCAGGCAGGGAGTTCCGCCAATCAATGGGGCATTTCCAGGTGTGGCCCACCTTCCGCTTCACCGCTAGGTGTGCAACAGTTGAGACTACTAATTTCTTTCACTGGAGTTTTAGAGCTGCAGGAAATTTAGGGGATTCCAGAACATGGTCACCTGCACATTCCTTTCGGCCTCTGGCACGGTGCCCTTTTGAGGTCTTTGGAAACGAGATTTGGGAGGAGGCCTGTGAGCCTGGGGAACAAGCAGGCTCTTTGGGCCTCCAGCCCTTAGTTTTCAGATGATTGGGGATAGGCCAGTGTGCAAAATATTTAGACTGAAATGTCTTCGAGTACGTTTTTGATCCATTTTTTTTTCACTTTTCTTTATACAGCATATTTGGTGCAGGAGATTCACAGAGCCGACATTCCTCTTCCGGAGGGAGAGGCCAGTCCTCCTGCACCGCCTCTTAAGCAAGTCCTAGAAATGCAGGTACCTGGCATTGGAGGCTGCTCTTGGGGCACTAGTCGGGAGGCTGCTTCCTCTTCGGACTACCTGGTCGGCTCTTCTTTGCCTTTCTTCTCAACCCCATGGAATGAAAACTAAAGGACAGTGTAGGGTTCATGCTCAGCAGTAGGTCATCTGTGATAGAGGTTGATTGTAATTTAGTTTTATTTGAAGATGTAAGGTGTGTGCCACCTTTCCAGGTGGAATGGAACAGAAGCTTATGAGAGTTAGGTCGGGAGGTCCCTGAGAGCGCACAGCGGACTAGCCAGCCCTAGCAGCCACAGCCAGTGCCAGGGGGTAGGTGTCTGCCCTACGCTCTCACTTTCTTCCCAAACTTACTCTACCCTCCCCCAAGACTTTAGAAGCTAGGAAGTGCTAGACTGTTCCAGGTGGGCAGGTGAGTTCAGTATCTGGAGTGCTGGGGAGACAGTGTTCCCCGTTGAGAGCACTATGTGGTCTTCACTTGACAGCATCTCCCCATAAGTTAGCCCATGGGGCTTCGCTTGGCCACCTGACAGCTCATCACCCTGGGACCAGACTCAAGCAACTTCTGCTGCTGCCTGTTTGGCTTCCCCGGGAGGAAGGCATTTGATTGACATCTTTCTACAGTGGACTTTGCACGAGGAGGATGAATAGATAGCCATAAGTGGTTTCACCTGTTTGCTGGGCGGGCTGAGTGTTATCACAAGACGTATAGCAGTTACTGACCTCTTAGAGATTTTACATGCAGAGCACAAGCAATGAATTTGGGTTTGAATACAACTTTTTTTGACTCAGTGACTTGTTTCATAGATTTCTGCTTCTGTGGTTTTAATGCTTCAGAATTTTTAAGGATGCTTAGTACCTAATTAATCATTAAGGAAGATTTGTTCTCATTAATTTTTATTCCCAGTTGATTGTGTAAATGCAACTGCTATGCAGCTTTGAAGTTAGAGATTAGAAATTTAGCTGTCCAGAAAAAAAATTATCTAAGTTTTTCTGTTGAAAATAAAAGGAAATGTGGACTCGAAAGAAGAAGACATTTGGAGGTAGGATAATGAATGGGCAGAGTTAAAAGCGATAATAGGGCCAGGGAGTTGAGAACAGGCTTAGTCTGAGGATACATGGCAATAGCCCAGCATCCCGGGGCTTTTATTAAACATACCACGGGGCCTCCTTGGTGGTGCATGGGTTAATTCTCAGTATGAGACTGTCCCCAGCCACCACAGCCTAAGTTTGATCCCCAGCCAGGAAGGTGACCCACGGGAGCATCAGACCTCTCCTGGCTTATCTGCTGCTCCCCTCAGCAGTTTCAGTAGATCTGTCTATTCTGCTCCCCACTCTGTCTGTGGTGAATCCTTTCACTGTCCCGCTACACCTCTGACCTACACCCCAGCTCTTATGCATAAATAAAGAAAATAAATCTCTTAAAAAAAACAAAACAAAACACATGGCATGGCCTGAATTCACATGAAGTGGTTATTGTGGGCCTGAAAACCTATGTGTGTTTTCACATTGTAGTTGAGCTATCATAGTTCAGGCTTTTTGAATCCTCCTCTGGCCTTGGCATGCTGTGACATGGTCATTAACACCACACATGGAGCTCATCAGGCTGCTGTTCTTGCCCTTGTATTTAGGAGCAATTGCAGAAGCTCGAGGTTGAACTGAGAGAAGTCACCAAGAACAAGGAGAAGCTGAGGAAAAACCTCCTGGAGCTGATCGAGTACACGCACATGCTGAGGGTGACCAAGACCTTCGTTAGACGCAACGTGGAGGTACAGGCCCTGCGCCCAAGGCAGCGCGTAGCTTTGTACATACCTCCCACCTGCCAGTTCCTGTGAATGTATTTCTTTTGAGAAGAGGGACATTTTGAGCTTAGCCTTGCTTTATGTGACATTAAAAAAAAAAAAAAAAGCCTTGAGTCTTTTCTGTGCAGGTTCGTTTCAGCAATAACAGCTCTTCCTACTTGTAAAATGCTCTAGTTTGCAGGCAAAAACAATCTTAATGTTCATGAGAAAAAATTCAGTAGTGGAAGTTGAACTCTAAAATTTTGGGCTTTTCTTCCCCAAATTGCTGAGAATAAAGGAAGTAAAAAAAACAATAGCCTATAAATTGTAAGAATACAGCAGCCTGGGGAGTCGCACTGTGCTCAGCTGACAAAGTGATCCCTTCTTGGCCTAAGGTGATGACATACTGTATAGCTGTGCTTTTTTGCAAATGTCTTTAGGTAGTTTACAAATAAGGGATGGGGGATGAGCTCTCTCAGTTGCCAGAGCTGAGCCACATGCTGAGTTACCTTGGGTGCCTACTTTGTTTGGAAACTTGACATGGGGAGTAAAGTCTACTTTGAGTGAGACACACCTGGTTTTCTGTGCCTTTGCAGTTTGAACCCACATACGAAGAATTCCCTCCCTTAGAGAATGAGTCGTTGTTGGACTACAGCTGTATGCAGCGGCTGGGGGCCAAACTGGGGTAGGTGATGACTGGGCCATTGCATCCAAGAGCCCTTCTGGACAGGGGGTGGTGCTGTGCCCGGGTGCATAGCACCATTGGGAAGCCAGGGAATGATTGGAAGAAAGTGAGTATTTAAGTCAATGCTGTGGCCTGTGTTGAATTCCTTAGCTGTGCTGACCTTTAGTAATTATGATGGCGATGTCTTCTGTGTAATGAACTGGAAAGAACGTTCATTTATGCCATTCATGTCACTCCAAGAAGCTTGAAGTAATTGCTCATTGAAACATCAAGCCCTATTTTGTTTGGTTGAAACAGGACTAAGCTAAGCTGATTAATTCATTTCACTGTATTTGCAGTGTCTGTGTTGTTTATTCTTCCACTTAATTGACCTAACAGTGGGGTGTTTCCTTGGGTGCTCTGTGCTGTCTCTTCACTATGAAATTTCGTCCCTTCCTGGGAGGAGCTGTAAGACACTTGGTTTGAGGAGGGGATTTATTTTTAGATTTATCAGGTACTTGGAAAGGTCTTTACCAGCCTGGAATCATTTTATATTAATTTCCTTATTTGGGTTTTTTTTGGGGGGGGGGTTGGTTTAATTTATGTTTTCTTTGTTATACAAGTAATGTGTGAATTTAAGTCCCAAAAGTGAATGAATTTTAACCTGTGGTTAGAAACTTTCATATTCTTTCCCCTTCTCTCTGGAACTGAAACTGAAGAACTTCTTGTAGGCTCCTTAGTAAGGTCTGTTTTCCCTGGCGTGTTCTTTCATAAAGAGGCAGCCTTTCTGGTGGGGCGGGGCTCTAGGCGTCCTACCTGGAGGGACTGGCGGGGCCAGTATCCTCTCCCTTGGTTAGCACCAGGGCCACTCCCCCATTTAAGCCGGCCCTGAAGCTTGGGGATACTGGGTCATGTCAGGGTGGCTTCTGAGTTCTGTTTAATCTTTAGAGTTTGTGGATTTCCTTTTAATTACAGCCTCAGCTATACATATAAAGAGACATTTCAAAAATGTTACCAGCCTTTTAGATCTTTAGCCGTTAGAGGGCTCTTAGGATGTCCTCATTTTCTCAAAAATGAGTCTCCATTTCCCTTGAGCACAGTTTCACGCACCCCGTGGACGAAGGCGGAGTCGCATCCTCTGCTGACCGTAGCTCATCGTGACTGTCTCCTAGGTTTGTGTCTGGCCTGATTCACCAAGGAAAAGTGGAAGCATTTGAGAAAATGTTGTGGCGGGTCTGCAAAGGGTACACCATCGTGACCTACGCAGAACTGGATGAACCCCTCGAAGACCCTGAAACCGTGAGTGGAGGACTCACTGCATTAGGGTGCAGCCACGAGTTTCTCAGATGCCTGGGGGGACCCTAAAATCCAGGACTTTTCCTGCCTGGTGGCAGCAGAGACAGGCAGAACGTGAAGAAACCTGGGAACCACTGTTCCAGGGCTGTCCCAGGCTGTGGGTTCTACCTCTGACACTGCAGCAAGGCCCAGTGCAGAAGCTTAGAGGTTATCTGTCTTGTCTTTAGTCTCCTTATTCTGGGACAGTTTCTCCATCTTTTCTTGACTTTATGACCTTGACACTTAAAAAGTGACGACTAACTGGTGTGGTGGGGGCATTTCCCTTGTTGGGCTGTTTGCTGAGGATCGGCTAAAGGCCAGTGTCTCCTTGCCCCAGAGGGTGCAGCCTTCTCATGTGTCCTGTCAGGGTGCAGGGCCCACTCTGTCCTGTTTTGTTCATCATACTCCGACCGCTGGACCAAGGTCATGAAGAGAGCTTCTCCACTGCCAAGCTTCGCCTGCCCCTTTTTCATTAGCACATGATTGGGGAAGTGCTTTGGTGCTGTGAGAAGTGCATTCCTTGGCAGATTTTTATTGTATTGTTGAAGTGGCAGTGATGGTCACGTCGCTGAGCCTCAGGTGTGTGGTGTGGATGGCCAACACGTGTGTGCTGCAGCTGCGGCCCAGCATCTTTCCCTGTGGTAGTGCCCCCTGTCCTGATTTACTCACCCCTTCCATGCCCCTTCTGATAACTACTGACAGGCTCTCTACTCTTCAAGCTTGTTTTATTTAGTTCATCTGCTTTTCTCTGTGTCATCGCTTATGAGTGACATCTCATGGTATTTCTCTTTCTCTGGCTGATTTCACTAAAGGTCGTCCCCTCCAGGTCCATCCATGTTGTTGCAAATGCCAGGCTTACATCTCTGTAGCAGAGTATTAGTCCATCGTGTGTGTGTCTGTCTCTTCTTGTGTGCCTGTGTGTGTGTGTCTGTGTGTCTGTGAGTATGTATCTCTGTGTGCCTGTATCTTTGTGTCTGTATCTCTGTGCACGTGTGTACACCACATCTTTGTCCACTCATCTGTGGGTGGATGCTCAGGTAGCTTCCAGTTCTTGGCTTTTGGGAATACTGCTGTACTAACCCCCACATCAAATTTTCAGGCATCATTTATTTCCTGGTTTGCCCTATAAGTTACACTTTTACTGTGATTAGCTTGCCTCATCCTATCTTCTGGGTCACCCTTGCCACCCTCCTGTGGCTTTAGGACTGACTTAGGAGGGGAGCAGAAAGACAGGAGTGAGAAAGAGCCAACATCATCCTCTGAAGTATCTATTTTTTTTTTAAACAACTTTACCATAAAAATAACTGTTGCTCCAAATGTGAATGAATTGATCTAGTAAAAGTAGAAAAGGAAGGAGAAAGTTTCTCACTTTTGAGAAAAGGGTTAGTGTTTTCTTCAGCAGTATTGACTGCAAAGTCAGTATAGTCTCCATGGTCACTTGAACACACAGAGCGGCGTCTGTCTGTGATATTTGTTGGGTTCAGCCTGAAAGAACCCCATGTCGGAAAGTTTGATCAGCTGAGCTGTTCATTAACCACACACCTGTTGTATTTTCTGTTCTTGGGGTTCCTGTACTGCCAATGGCAGTCTGTTAACTGACCTGCGTGGCTGTAGTGATGACTGGAATAGCTGAAAATGAGAACCATTGTGTTCTGATTGTTTCCTTTGAGAGGACGTACCATCATTCTCACATAGAGCATGTGCTCAAGCTAAAGAAAATTCTTAGCAGTTCTAGGCATGTTTGTATTGAGTGCATTTCCCGTCTGAGACGCAGAGTCTTGCAAGGCGGCAGAGACGTGAGGTCCCCTCTCCCCCTTGCTTTTTGGATTGTGCTCTGCAGATAATGCCACCTGTGCTGGGCCCGTTTTCTACCAGCTGTCTGTGTCACATTTTGTCAGCTTGGTCCTGATAATCCTATTGTTTTTTTAAAGGTTTATTTATGAATACAAAACTGAGGTATAGAGCAAGGATGTGGGGGTCTGAGAGAATTCACCAGGGATAGAGTGGGGAGCAGAACAGGCAGACTGAGTGAAATACACTGCTGAGGGGAGCAGTGAGTGGGACAGGAGAGGTCTGCTGAGCCATGTGGGTCAGCTCCCTGGCCGAGGATCGAACTTGTGCTGCAGTGGATAGCTTCATGGTGCTGTGCTTTATCCCTTTGTGCCACCAGACAGGCACCCTGATCACCCTATTTGAAACCAGCCTCCCTGTCATCCCTTCTAACCACAGTTTCTTTAAGCTATTACCTCCATTTGACAGATGATGTATTTTCCTTGTCTCTCATTGTTCACTTGAATGTAAGTTCCATTCCTTCCCAAGCTCACTCCTTCTCCCACCCCCAGCCATGGAATTTTATCTATTTTGTTTGCTGCTGCCTCCTTAGCATCTAAGGCTGTGTGACGAATAGGCCAAAAGCCTATTGAGTTGTATTCGCAGAATTTTTGTAAATGCAGCCAGTTCTTGTTCTGGTGTGTAACACTGAGTGGACCCTGTCTCCTGGGGAGATCTTGGAAGGTACCCTCTGCCTAAGGGCATACTCCTGTCACCCTGCTAGTACAGAACCTGGGTTATATGCATTTCTATGTAAAGATTTCTTAGTTGGTACCTACTGTCAGTCATTGACATAGCTCACGGCCAAGGCCCTGTCCTCAGCCTTCATGAACCCACCTGTGCACAGTGCCTTAGGGTCCTTCCTTAGCACAATCCCTGAGGCCATTTTTATTTTATTTATTTATTTTTTTGCATAGTTAGAAGAATTCAAATTCACTTCTAATTGTGATCTCTTTCAGAGTCATTATTCTCACCTACTTAGCCCCAAACTACAGATTAGATTCCATTATCACTTCCTTTTGCGTTAGTCTTTTTCTTTATTTTTTATTACAAAAGTTTATTTTTACATCATTTTGTAAATTTTTTTTTCCCATCTCAATTGTAATCCCCGCGGGTTTCC